AAATGCATATATAGCAAATTTGAAAATAATTGTGGTGTGATAATTTGCTTATATGTTGATGATATGCTGATTATGGGAACTAGTTTAGATGTGATTAATAAAACTAAACAGTTTCTGAACAAGCACTTTGAAATGAAAGATTTGGGTGTTGCTGATGTTATTCTAGGAATCAAAAATAGTAAAACATTTTGAAGGAATTATTTTGACCCAATCACATTATGTAGAAAATGCGCTTAAGAAGTTTACTCAATACAACTGTATTCCTGCTAAAACACCTTATGATGCAAGCCGTCATTTGAGAAAATATTCAAGTCCTAGTGTTTCCGCTTTAGAGTATGCTAAAGTAATCGACAGTCTCATGTATCCCAAGAACTGTACAAGACCTGATATAGCATATGCTGTCGGTAGACTTAGCAGGTATACTAGTAATCCTAACAATGAACATTGGGATGCTCTCATTCGAGTCTTGAGGTATTTGAGATACACTCTAGACTGGGGAATACATTATACCAAATTCCCTGCTATACTTGAGGAATATTGTGATGCTAATTGGATTTCCGATACCAATGAAAGTAAATCTACAAGTGGATATGTATTTACATTAGCAGGCGGTGCTGTCTCCTCGAAATCCACTAAGCAAACCTGCATTGCTAGATATACTATGGAATCTGAGTTCATAACTTTAGATAAGGTAAGTGAGGAGGCTGAATGGTTAAGGAATTTTCTTATGGATGTTCCTTTGTGGTCTAAACCATTTCCAACTATTTCAATACATTGTGACAATCAAGCAGCTATCTTAAGAGCTCAAAATTCATCATACAATGGAAAGTCTAGACATATTCGTAGGAGGTACAATACTGTGCGTCAGCTCCTTAAGAATGGGATTATAACTATTGACTATGTGAAGTCAAGTGATAACATTGCTGACCCATTAACCAAAGGATTGGCTAGAGAGCTAATTCAACAAACATCGAGGGGGATGGGGCTAAAGCCTATTGTTTATTAGATCACCTATAATGGAAACCCAACCTTGCAATTGGAGATCCCATGATCAAGGTTCAATGGGACAACAAAGTTATTGGAGTGGTCTGTGGGGGTACTACATTGGATTTATTCCAAACCCCCTCCCTATGATGCGTAGTACCAACTGTATTGATTAGAGGATGAGCTAATGTTCTTAATGCTTACTATAGCTAATATTCAGTGGGGTGTTTAAATACAATGCACCCTTGATAGTAGCACCTATTTGAGTGTGGAAGTGGGGCCGCTTCCTATGAGAATTGAGGCGATTTCTCTATGGCACTCAAAGAAATTGGGAAAGTTCACGACCGAAATGAACACAACCGTGAAAACTCAATGACTGTTCTAAAAATCATGTGTGTATTCTATTGTCTCAGTTTGCAACTATAATTGTAGAAATTCAAGACATAGTTCACTCTACAGTTAGTAAGCTCGATAGAATATACAAAGCCAAGGTTCAAGTCGATAGACACCTAAGCCTGCATGATTTTTACTGTACTTTAGAGTAATATTTTCATTTATCTTATTTCTTTCATGTGGGGGATTGTTATATATTTATGGTATAAATATAAAATGTAAAATAAATAATCAAATTAGATAAAGTGCCAAAGTGGTGAGAAATGTGGCATTTGTGTGGGACGTTAGGGGTTCGAGTCACTCCCCATGCAGATATTAAAATGTCTTGATTAGGGTCTTGGGCTCTTGGGCTTCTTCCTTAACTAAAATAAATTATTTATTATTATTATTATTATTATTTAATGGGTAAAATTAGCTAGTATTTTTTGACTGTTTGTTTTTATAACAACCCACTAACAGTCATTAAAATACTCACTACTCAGTCATTAAAATTCTGAATTAATCTTTGATCATGGTGGAGACTGTTACTTCCATCCTGCCTATATAAATTCATATCTCGTTTTGGAAAAAATGCACACAAAAAGAAAATAGAAAAATCCTCTTGTATCAATCCTTCATTTTCTTATACTCGAGTTTTTACATATATTTTGGAGTGCAATTGAGAGTTTTGGAAAAATCATTCGTGATTGCTGCACAAATGGTTTACAATCGTTGTATTCTGGGAGTGATTGTCCACCGAGGTCGCAACAATTATCGACGGACTATTTCACTTTAGGACATCGTGCTGTCACGAGACTCGATCGGATGATAAGTCTTATATATTTCTGCATTTTATTGTTCTGAACATTACTGCAACTAGTTATTATTCCAACAGCAGTTTTCATAGATAATTATATAACAATAAATTAAACATTACATACCACATTTCTTATATAATATATCGATAACCAAGCGATACACTCATCAGTAGTCATTTGAATTCTCAAAAGATTTCACATTTCGTTATAAAGAATCAAATAGAGTTCACATTTTGTTAGGTCGGACACAAAGATCTACTTACAATTCATGCATAATTAATTGAACATAAAAGTGTACGAAAACTACCAATTCCACATAAAGTATCTTCCCTCGTTAGATCAAACGAATTGCCAAACTAAGTATGAATTCACATTACAAATTCTTTTCCTAAATCTCTCTGCACCGTATTAAATTTGTGGGTACTATTTATTTTTGTATGGTGAATAATGGGGCCTATTGCTTAGTGTTTATAGTCAAAATAATTAGAGTTTTGAAACAATTGAACTAGAGTTTACATGCTCCATACAAATTTGTCAGGATAGGCTATGTGGATAAAGTATAACTGTCACATAAAACTAATCAATTTGTTTTATAGGCTATATAGGACACGCACGTGGACCAATGTTAATTGGTTTCATTGAGTTGGATTTTATAAAAGGTCTAGTACCTAGATAATAATTGTATCTCTAAGCAACTACGAGACAATGCCACGTATTGCTAATGCATTTGTGTAGAAAGAGGTTTCATTTTCCAGATTTTCTCTTATAGGGGGGCCACCCCATTTTTTAATTGCCAAAAATCATACTCACAAGAGAAAATCTGGACAAAGTCTGTACAAATAATCCTGATCAAATAGCATTTTTGATTACAAAACTAATAAATTTAAACGTTTTCTATATCCAACCATAGACACACTCGTGATTGCCCCACATCCCAATCCTATTTTAGTAAAAATAAAACTAATAAATGACAATTAGTTTAAACTTCAATATCTTGAGTCTATTTTATTCAAATTAATCCTGTCTTGAGTCAAATACTTCTAATTACTTACGACCTATATAAATAGTCTAATATTGATATTTAAAATTTTGTTCTATTGATATCTAATTATTTGGCCCACATAAAATAGAAATTTAGAACTCATTTCATTTTAGTCCTAAATTTTACAAAATATACAAATATAGCATTTAAAACAATTTTTTTTCCTAAAATTTTCGGTGTTACATATCAAACCTAAAATTGTATAATTATCTAAATAGTAGCACTTGTTAGGCATAGTATTATATAAATAGAGGGTTGTCCCCTAGGGCAGAGTCTAGTGGTGCAAAGGACATGAGTGAGGTTACCTCACGCCTTGCTGACAGCTACAGAGTGAGGGTTCGATTCCTGAAACATGGAATTGGACTCCTTGTAGGCACAATGTACATACAGCTCTTGTTTCCTGACCTGTTGGGGTGCATCTCGCGATTTAACTCTCTCACAAAACTTTAGGGACGGGACGGTGGAGGCCCTCGAGATTGGGGTTCAATCCTTATATAAGTAGAGGGTTTCTAATTTCTTCCCCAATGACTCAGCTGAAGTTGTCTTTTCAAACTTTCTAATCACACTATCGGATTGATGGAGGCGGCTTGAGCTCCAGGCAATCACATCAAACTTATTTATCTTGTAAGCACTCACCACTGCTGCCCAAGAATCATGCAAGGCAGCAGCACATTTCCATTACAAACAATAGAGCTTTCATTTTCTAGCGTCAGAGACTATAGTTCCACTACCATTCCACAATTCTGCCTCAAACTTTTGTACGGAACTCATGTTTGCAAATAAATTCACTTAGAAAAGTACATACAATACACGGTGTATTTCAAAATCAAGCAAGGTGAAATAGTTGAAGTATTTGCAAAATTTTGAATATATGAATTTTAATACAGCTAAAACAATCTCTATTTAGCATTAAAATTTTGCAAAACAAACAAAGCAGATTATATAGTACAAATTTAATCACAATTTATCAAAAGTAAACTTGCAGAGAATTCACAAAATCGAACATAATGAATTTTGACCATTAACAGATTTGAATGTTCGCATGCTCTAAACACTACTTACTTGTTGAACATCTACAAAGTAAATAATGATCCAAATATTAGAATCAAGCTAAAATCATATCGGTACAAATGTTTGAAGAAATCCTCGGGTTTCTTTATGTTTTCTCTTGCCTCACTGATATAGTAAACCTACCAATCTATCTATCTATTTATACTCAATAAACAGAAATTCACTCAAGATTTACAACAAAAGGAGTCTGGAATCAAAGAACAATTACAGAGAGAAAACCCTAGACTAGAAATAGAAGAAAATTGAAACGTTGCAATATAAAAACCGTGTAAAGAAATAGGGTCAAGCCCTATTTATAGGGGCCAAAGAAAATCACAGATCCAACACCCGCACTAACGCCACATGTAACGGCCAGATATCCATTTTAACAGAAGTAAGAAATCGCATATTCTTCCACAAACACGCCTGTAATTAAAATGGTCAACCAGTCAAACAAGTCAAATTATGAGGCAGTCTACAAGAATTATTCTACAGGTACAGATTTTTTTACTAGATATCTCCCAGTGATTTGCTGTTGCCAAAGACTGTTTTTGGCAGCAGTCAATCCTTATGAGACAACTGTGTTTCCTACAAAAAATCTGTACTTGTAGCATTTCTCGTAATTGTCTATCTCGGAGTGAGAGTACTAAGAATCCGAAACAGGTTGGAGAGCAGAACTTGCAACGGCAAGCAAGGGTCGATCTTACGTTCACTGTTATTAAAGGAACCAGATGTCAAATAAGAAGGGACACAAGAACAATATAAGCATTATTGAGGTGGTCTCAAACAGAGATTATTATTCATACGATAAAGAAGACACGAGATTATTAGAGGATAATGAAACACGACACAGACAGCACTGAGTTATTCTACTTAAGTTTAGAAGCAGCATCCTTGTCCAGGAACCATTTCAGTTCTCCTTCAGGTGAAACTTCCATGCTAGGCAGGGGAATTGAATCAGGAGGAAGTCCATCACCCAATGCAATATTAACAGTATCGGCCAGTTCAGCTCCGGTGACCACCATTGCGATATCTGAAGATGAGTTGATCACGGGAAACGTGAAAGTGATCCTCGGTGGAGGAGGTTTGGGAGAGTCGGTAATGAATGTAACCCACCGCTTCTTCTCATGACGTTGCGGACGGTTAGGAAATAAAGAAGCAACGTGTCCATCTGGCCCCATTCCAAGAAGCATAAGATCAAATTTGGGGAATCCAGAAGCATTAGATAAAGGTATAATTTTGCTCTCGACCAAATGCTTGAGACGTACTTCATAATCATTTGCCGCGCCCTCTGGTGACAGCTTGTCATTGATGGCATAAATGTTACTGGAAGGAATTGGTACCTGCAGAAAATAGTGAAAAGCCAACGCTCTTAACATTCTGCATACACCTGATTCCAAACATGACCGGAAAATTTGTTCCACACATAGCATACACTGATTTTCAACTCAATTCTCAATACTTTAATATTCACAGTTCTTTTTCTAATATTTAGGGTGTATTTGATTGGAGAATTTTCTGTCGAAAATTGCCTTTTTCTACTCGAATTCTAACCTTTGGCATGTTTGATTGCCAAATTTTTTCCATTAAAGTTATTTTTCAACCTTTGAAAATATGATTAGCTTTCCGTTTTTGAGGAAAATATTTTCTTTGGGAAGGTAGGTTTTTGTTTTCCTACATTAGCTAGACGTGAGGATGGTCGAACTGGATTACTCCTAATGTGTGTTACCTTTTAAGCTATTTGAAAGGGGACACAGAGTTAAAACACCTCTAGTGCATGTTGATTCATATATTCATAAAAAGTTGCAACTTCTTCACAAAATAGGAGTAGCGAAACTTGAATTAGTACTTTTGCCTGGATTTACTGCACATATCTTTAAAACAATTGGATTTCAACTGACAAAATTACATGAACTGATATGCATTCAATTTTGCAGACAGAAAATATTTCGAAATTTTGTGTACCTTCGAAAGAAAACCATCATATGCAAGTTTATAATTACTGTCATCACTAGTCAAAGGAACCACCCTCTCATCCACCCAAAAGATGAGCCATTTCGACCAATCAACTGATTCTTTGTATGGAGACTCCACCAGTTTCCTTGACACATCAAAACCAAATTATCACAAATTTTCAAAAAGATCAACAATATAAAAACCCATTTGGTTACCTTAATTGTTGGGGGGAAAAAAGTAGATCCCATTTACCAAATAAGAGGCGTACCTCATTGTATCGATTAGGCTACCTCCAGAAAGAACAACAGAGATAGAACCCTTCTCTCTGATATACTTTTCCGACAAATCGGCGGTGTATTTTGCCAGAGCCACGGCTACATCTTCCTCGGAATCGAATTTTAGTATAGTGGTTTTGCTTTTTCCGTGAGCCATTGATGCTGGGGAAGCTATTAATTTAGTACACAGCTATTATCGAGCATAGCACAGAGCCATTTTATAGAGAAAAAATATAAATTCTGATTAAAATTAAAATTTTAATTTAAATTAAAGTTAATAATTAATTTTAATCACGTAGATAACTTTTCAACTATAAATTTATCAATTTTTATCAAAATCTATTAAAATTTGATTTCAACTCTTACGTATAAAATATCATAGCACGTGGCATGCCTATTTAATTACATAAAATATAATAAAATGAAAATAAACACGTGAATAATGAAACTAAAGTGCTGCTAAGTATGTACGATGTATCTGTACAACTTTCTTTGTGGTCCTAATATGTATAATTTATATTTTGGATTATTATCTTTGTGGGATAGAGATGTATCAATACAAAGTTGTCCGTAGTCCTATAATATGTAAAATTTACATAAAAACAATGAAATAAAATAATAGAACAATTTTCTCCTATTATAAAGAGATTCAAATTCTATAATTCATAAATGTGATAACATAGGGGTTAATTTGCAAAAATCATGTGCTTATTTTAGACAGATAAAGTTCAATTTTTGAAGTACAGTACGTTAGTAATATGAAAAATGATACGAAAATAAACACGTGTACAATGAATTTGGAGTGCAACCATGAAGTATGTAGCGGTACAACTAACATTTTGTCAAGTGGTCTTAATATGCATAACTTTGTCAAGGTAGATTTTACCTTTTAATTTATACTAGCGCCTTGTGATATATTTTTATATGAATCGTGTGATAACTAAAGAAGACCTGAGAATTTTCGTAATTAGAGATTGATTAAGACAACAACGAAAGATTGTGAACCAACTTGCTTTTTAAAAGAAAAAAATATTTCAGGACCAACTTGCTATTTTTCGATAGTACAAATTTCCCCTTCCATAAAGTGATTCAAATTCTAATAAATGTATAAACGTGATAATATGGGTTGGTTTGAAAAAATCACGTGCCTATTTTATGTAGTCAAAATATCAATTATTGGAACAAAGTATCTTAGTACGTGACAGCCTTATTAATTAAAAAATAAAATGAAAATAAGCAAGTGTACAATGAGATAGAGTGCAGCTACGACTTAAAACTTATCAAGTGGTCCTAAAATGTATGGATTTGTTCGATAGTGATTATGAGAATTGATTTTTAACCGTTGGAGAAAAAAGTGAGTCCCACCTATTAGAAAAGAAGTAAAAAATGACGATTGATTTAGGAAAGTAACTATCAAAAAAATGATTTTTTGGGGTGAAAAATCAGACTTTAGTTCTAAATTTATAATTAGTGTCTAAAAATTAATAGTGATATATATATATTTAGAGCTTGTTTGGTTTGAATTAAAATTTGATTTTAATTTAAGTCAAAGTCAAACAATTAATATTAACCATATCTTTCATGGATTCCACAACTTTTCAACAACATATTTAAAAAATTTCTATCACAATCTACTAAAAAATCTAATTTTAATCACCACCAAACACATTCTTACAAGAGTCGTGTGATAATTAAAGAAGATTTTGGATTCTTGTAATTGGATATTGATTTAAAAGTTAGACTAGACCCACTTTCGAATCAAACCTATTGGAGGGCTAGGCTCAAAATCAGGCCAAAAAACATGGGACCGATGTGGCGGCCCTCCATTGGAGGGGTGCCTGCCTGGCTAACAGGTATATTCCTTTTAAAATACGGTGCATGATTTGGTGATAGAAAGAATTGTCAATCGAGATGTATACATCTTCGTCCGTTAATCAAGAACGTGGGACCAAAAGCAAGGAAGGCCAGAATTTTTCTTGGAGGTTTCTCAATATTTTTCTAAAATTTTTATGTAGTTTTTATTATTCAGTTAAGAATTATTTAACCACTGATGCAGGGAAAGCTCTGAATTTTACCCCAAAATTTAGTGTTGAGTCATTTTGTAGAGAAAGAGTTCTATTATTGAAATAAAACTTATTAATTAAATAAAATATAATGAAATGAAAATAAACATGTGAATAGTGAAATTGAAGTGCTGCTGAGTATGTACGATGTATCAGTACAACTTTGTCAGTGGTCCTATAATATGTAGAATTTACATAACAATGAAATATTGTGAACTAACTTGCCTTTTTAAAAATTGAAGGTTAACTTACTATGACAATAATAGAACAACTTTCTCCGATTATAAAGAGATTCAAATTCTATAATTCGTAAATGCGATAACATAGGGTTAATTTGCAAAAATCATATGCTTATTTTACAAGAATAAAAAAACCTTCAATTTTCGAAGTAAAGTACGTTAGTAATGTGAAAAATGAAATGGAAATAAACAAGTGTACAATGAAATTGGAGTGCATCTGTGAAGTATGTAGCTATACAACTCTAAGAGCCCATTTGGAAACCATTTTTCAAAAGAATGAAAATGAAAATGAAAAATATAGTCATTACGGAACTCAAACAAGAGATAGAAAGTCAAAAATGGTGGCTTGATGTGATGAATAACAGTCATATTATTTATTTATTTTATTTTTTTTCATTTTTATGGCCAAACAATGGGAATCAAAGTGGGCCTAACATTTTGTCAAGTGGTCTTAATATGTATAACTTTGTCAAGGTAGATTTTACCTTTTAATTTATTCTAGTGTCTAAAAATTTAAAGTGTGATATATTTTTATCTGAATCATGTGATAACTAAAGAAGATTTGAGAATTTTCGTATTTGGAGACTAATTGTACAATAACGAAATGTTTAAACCAACTTGCGTTTTAAAAGAAAAAAAAAATTCAAGACCAACTTGCTATTAATAGTACAACTTTCCCATCGATTTCTCCTATCAACACTTTCTCGATCGAGTCCGTCGCACATGACTTGCCTAGTGCGGTTTATTTGGCTAATGCAGTTTGCAAGATATTGCGTCAGCCCGAGAATTTACCAAGTACGCACCCGAAGGGTGCCGGCTGCGAGTTCCCCCATCATAAAAAAATAAAAAATAAAAAATTCCCTTTCCATAAAGTGATTCGAATTCTTAATGTATAAATGTGATAATATGGGAAAAATCATATGCCTATTTTATGTAGTAAAAAAATCAATTATTGGAACAAAATATTTTAGTGCATGACACCCTTATTAATTAATAAATAAAATGAAAATAAACACGTACAATGAGATTAGAGTGCAGCTACGACTCAAGACTTATCAAGTGGTCCTAAAATGTATAATTATGTCAAGTTAGATTTTACTTCTAAATTTATATTTAGGGTCTGTTTGATTATAAAGATGAAATTGAAAACGAATTTCAGGGAATTGAATTGCATAGAAATTGTTTTCATGGGAATTGTAAATTATTATATTTGATTGGTATAATTTTTCACGTGGAAAATGTTGAAATAAATTTTTTTTTTGCTGTTCGTTTGACTTTATTTTACATGAAAATTGTCAATTAAAGAGATATATTTTACTGGTATTGGGAATGGAATTTATTTCCATTGTCAAAAAAAAAAATCAAGAAATTCAAGAAAATCATTTATCTTTTGGTGTTCGTTGGACTTTGTTTTACATGAAAATTGTCAATTAAGGGAAAATATTTTTTTTTACAATAATCCTTAAAATTTGTTTCCATTACTCAAAAAAAAAAATCGAAAAAAAAGAAAATCACTACAGTGGCCTGGAATTCGAGTTCTCACCAATGTGGTGAGAATTCGAATTTCATGAAAACATGGAAAATTGCTAGTTCCCGAGAAAAACAAGAAAACTAATTCCTTCAAAAAAAAAAAATGGCTATCAAACAGCAAAAAAGATAAAAAAATGGAATTTCATTTTCCGTGTAAAACTTGGTACAATCAGACAGGGCCTTACGGCCTGTTTGATTACAAAGGTGAAAAAGGCAAATTAATTTATGTAAGTTGTAAAAGAAAAAAAATCACCAAAACGATAGGAATTCGATTTTCACTCAATTGTCCAAAAACGTGTTTTAAGTGTTTGTATCTTGGAATTCGAACTCAATTTCCACTTTCGTATCAAACAGTCAAAGTAGAAAACAAATATTTTAAATGTGATATTTTTCATGGAATTTAATGCTGTCAAACGGACCCTTAATATCTAAAAAATTATAGTGAGATATATATATTTACAAGAGTTGTGTGATAATTAAAAAAGATTTTGGATTTTTTTGTAATTGGAGATTGATTTACAAGTTAGACTAAGACTCACTTTCGAAACAAACTTGTTGGAGGGCTAGGCTCAAAGCCAAGCCAAAAAACTATTGGACGAGTGCCTGGCGGCAGGTGTTAAGAGAATAAATCTCACATTGGTTAAATACCGAAATATTGACTAACTTAAATAGATCTTGGGCCACTCCTCTTAACAATGTTGACCTTATTAAGATGGATCCCAAATCTTAACATGGTATTGGAACCCAATAAACTCCAACGAGCTATTCGATCTGATTAAGTCTCAAAAATGAGTACGCGAATTTCAAGATTGGTCTGCTAAAAAAGAGCCACCATCTTGCGAGAGTATGTTAAGGGAATAAATTCTACATCGGTTAAATACCGAAATACTGACCAACTTAAATAGATCTTGGACCACTCCTCTTAACAAGGTTGACCTTATTAAGATGGACCACAGATCTTAACAGCATGCACCCTTCAATAGGGGGCTGCCACATAGACCTTCTATTTTTTGGCCTGGATTTGAACCTGGCCAAACAAGTTTATTGCTTTCGAAATACAGTGCATGATTAGATGATCGAAAGAATTGTCAGTCGAGATGTATACATCTTTGTCAGTTAATCAAGAATGTGGGACCAAAAGCAAGGAATGTCAGAATTTTTCTTGGATATTTCTCAATATTTTTCTAAAATTTTTAGGGAAAATTGCAGCCGAGGTACCAAATATTTCGTTTATTAGCAGATTTTGCCCAAACCTTTAGTTTGTACCACCGGAGATACCAAACCTTTAAAAAATGAGCGGGGCCAGTCCAAAATGACGGTTTCCGTCTGTTTGACCGTCAAAACCGTCAGTTGACCCCTCTAATGATATTTTCAAGAATCTTCTCCAAATAAGTGAAGGGCAACATAGGCATTATACACATTTCCCTCCTCAACATCAAACACGTCAGTTGCAACTTCATTCCACTCACCATCCACTATGGACCTTGCGAAAACCCACGAAGAAGAGGAAACGTACGTCGAAGAAGATGAACATCCAGTGGACATTGCAGCCTACATTCGAGGCTTTCTTCCCCAACCCGTGTATGGTAATTGTGTTCCCCTTTTTTCAGTTTACGGTGTG